CATCAGAGAGGGAGAATTAAAATCTTTCCCAGATATCCAATCCCTAAGAACTTAGGCTGCACCCAAACCACCTCTATATGAAACACTTAAGAAAGTACTAAATACAGAAGAAAAGGAAAAAAGAACAATGTTCTTCACAAGAATATAGGAAAACAAATAAAATACACATGAACCAACCCCAAAACCAAAAGAAAGACAAAAAAACCAAGTGGAAGTACAACAACTCTATAAGAACTCTATGATAGAGACGAACTCTCAATTAGCCTGAATGTGAATGGACTAAATGCACCATTAAAAAGACATAGAATGGTAAAATGGATAAAATATCACCAGGCAACAATATACTGCCTTCAAGAGACCCATCTCACTAGAAAGGACATGCACAGACTCAAAGTAAGAGGATGGGAAACAAATTTTTAGGCGAATGGAACACAAAAGAAAGGAGGAGTTGCGATCCTAATTTCAGACAAAATACCATTTAAGCTATCAAAAATTAAAAAAGATACAGAGGGCCACTCCATAATGATAAAAGGTTCACTCTATCAACAGGAAATATCTATCCTAAACATATATGCACCCAACATAGGTGCATCAACTTTCATAAAGCAACTTCTAGGAAAACTAAAGAAAGATATTGACTCTAACACCATCATAACTGGGGACTTTAATACCCCACTCACAACCCTAGACAAATCATCAGGACAAAAAATCAATGAGATCTGGAACCTCAATTTGACTCTTGACCAAATGGACTTAATTGATACCTAGAGAACACTCCATTCAAAGACCACAGAATACACATTCTACTCATCACCATATGGAATGTATTCTAAGATCAACCACATAATTGGCCATAAATCAAGCATAAACAAATTTAAAAGAACCGAAATGTTACCCTGCACCTTCTTGTACCACAGTGGAATAAAAATAAATATTAACACCAACAAGGTCCCCCAAAACCCACAAAGACATGGACACTAAACAGCATGATGCTAAACAACTCCTGGGTCAATGATGAAATCAAAACAGAGATCAAAAGATACCTGGAAACAAATGAAAATGAAGAAATATCTTACCAAAATCTCTGGGATGCCATGAAAGCTGTAGTAAGAGGGGAATTTATATCCCTACAAATGCACATGAAGAAAACAGAAGGATCACAAATTAACAGCCTAACAAGCCACCTAAGGAAGCTGGAAAAGCAAGACCACAAAAACCCTAATTTCAGCAGAAGAATCCAGAGCACCAAAATAAAAGCCCAAATCCAGGACATAGAAGACAAAAAGATAATACAAAAAAATCAGTGTAGTTGGGTGTGGTGGCTCAGCCTGTAATCCCGCGCCTTGGGAGGCTGAGGTGAGTGGATTGCCTGAGCCTGTGGGTTCGAGACCCGCCTGGGCAGGTGAGACCTCATCTCTACAATAAATCAAAAAATTAGCCAGGTGTGGTAGTGCGCGCCTGTAGTTCCAGCTACGTGGAAGGCTGAGGCGGAAGGATCGCTGGAGCCCAGCAGGTCGAGGCTGCGGTGGCCGGGAGCGGCCACTGCACTCCAGTCTGGGTGACAGAGTGAGACTCCAATTCAAAAAAAAAAAATTAGCTGGGCGTGGTAGCTTGCACCTGTAATTCCGGCTACTCAGAAGGCTGAGGCAGAAGGATCGCCGGAGCCCAGCAGGTCGAGGCTGCGGTGGCCGGGAGCGGCCACTGCACTCCAGTCTGGGCGACAGAGTGAGAATCCAACTCAAAAAAAAAAACAAAAAACAAAAAAAACCCCAATGAAACAAAAAGCTGGTTCTTCGAAAGGATGAACAAGATCGAGGGTCCCTTAGCTAGACTGACCAAGAAAAAGAGAGAAAAAACCCAAATAAGCACAATCAGAAACACAAAAGATGAAATCACCTCTGACCCTAAAGAAATACAAAAGATCATTAGAGACTACTATTTACGATTATATGGAAACAAACTTGAAAACCTCAAGGAAATGGAGGACTTTCTGTCATCACACAACCTGCCTAGGTTGAAACAAGAAGAAATTGAGATCCTAAATAGACCAATAAAAATCAAGGAAATTGACTACATAATAAGAAAACTACCTACAAAAAAAAAAGCCCTGTACCAGATGGCTTTCCAGAAGAATTCTACAAGACATTTAAGGAGGAGCTGATTCCAATCCTATTAAAGGTATTTCAGGTGATTGAGAAAGAGGGAACTCTCCCCAAATCATTTTATGAAGCTAACATCACTGATACCCAAGCCAGGTAAAGGCCCAACAAAAAAAGAGAACTACAGGCCAATATCTTTGATGAACATAGATGCTAAAATTCTCAACAAGTTGATCCTAGCAAACCGGATTCAACAACACATCTCAAAAATCATCCATCATGACCAAGTAGGCTTCATCCCTGGGATACAAGGCTGGTTCAACATTCGT